TTTTTTTTTTTTTTTTTTTTTTTTTTTTTTTTTTGGAGCAGTAATCAAAAGCCGTAATAAGCAATCCTAAATTATGACGGTATGTTAGACCAATAGATGATAGCGATTCTTGATGCATGCCAATTGTTCTCAGATTAAGCAGGTTTTAAGGATGACAACCAATAACAGATTGGCATTTATGTGAATTTCCACAATTCTTGTTTTTCTTTTGGCCAAATTCAAGTTAAGAAAGATGCAACATCTGAAGCGACAATAATGAATTGCCAAATTTAATTGCCACCTTATATATCTCTGGGAGAAGGGGGGGGGAAAAACCTCTTTTTTTCTAGAACCATTCAAAAGAGAGAGATAAATGGATTAATGCTTGGGTTACACAGCTTTTTAGTAGAGAAGAATTAATAGATTTAAAGAATCGAGCGACAAGGAAGGAAGAAGGAAAATAAAATAGCAAAAGAATGATAAACAACCACGGTTTTTTTCTTTTTTTTTTTTTAGCATTTGCCTTTTTTACCGATTTAGTTGGTTAACAGCAGCAGTATTCCGTCAATTTTGACCCACAAAAAAATCGTTACAATTCAAATATTTTATTAAAAAATAATAAAAGTTTTTATTAAAGTGAAAAAAGGTAAAAGCAGTCAAAATTCTTTTTTCTCAATTTCTTGAAATACTGTTTTAATTTAGCTTCACCAACCAACAAAAGACTTGAAAACTTGTTTTTTTACATTCGTCACTTTATGTGATAATATCATTGTTATGTATCAATAAATTACCAACAAAATCCTTTCAGACAATCACCTATTATTCTGTTCTGCTCCTTTTTTTCTTTCTTACGGTCTACCAACACTTAGAAACAGCTATTAGTCATCAAGAAGCAAAAAGAATAGATTTAAAATAAGAATGAAAAAAAAAAAAATTGATGCTATAAATAAGCGTAAAATATTTTTTCGTGTAAAGTAAAATGAAGTTTTAATTTAATAGTATTATAACTTTGATTAACCGTAGTTGTTACTAAATAAATATTAGTGGTTTAGTCTTTTCAAACTTATACGTTTCTTTTTTCTTGTTGTTAATTATTTTCAAAACTTTGGTACATTAGTGCAATACAATTTGAGCAAAACAAAAAAAGAATGTGTTGAATTTATTTGACATTCATTTGTTAGCTAATAAAATCTTTTTTTGATCTTTTTTTTTTTTTTTTTTTGCTGATAATAATGATGATTAAAATTGCAATTCTATTTTTTTCTTCTTGTTTGAAGTTGCTTATTTTCTCTTCTTTTTCTATATTTGGTTTCTATTATCTACAGTATTTTTTTTTCCTCGTTGAATCTGATCTGTTATCAGAACTGAACGCTGTTGTCAATATCGTTGTATGCTTTTCACTCTTTTATTGAAAATGAAAACAGTGAAATTCCTCATTCTGAAAAGTATGGGGCACAAAAAAAAATTGCTTTTCCTAATTTTACTGTTCTTTATATGTGTTATTTTTAGGGTGAAAAAAACCATGGATTATGGTTCAGGAAAAACATTTGAAGAACAAGAAATTATTGAACATTATGTAACTGAATGTCGTCGAACCGTACCAATAAGTCATAATAATTTCTTGGAAAATGGTACAATACAGCGAAGTTCAACAGCTGAACGAAGTCTTGAAGAACAAACTTTTTCACAGACATTTAGAAATGGTGGTGCTAACGACAGTCTATTGCAGTCAACAAATGGATTCATCGAAAATGATACAGAAAAAAGGTGTTTCTTTTCTGTCTTTTTTTTTTTTTTCAAAGTAAATTATTTGATCTTTTCAAAAGTTAACTGAATATATCAGTTGAATATTTTGTGAACAGAAGAAAACTGTTTAAATTGATACTTACAAAAAATACTGCAACGGTGTATGTTAGTGTCTATCGTTTTTATTTCTTTTATTTCAATATAGTATATTACAATTGTCATAAAGCAAGAAAAAAAAAAAAGGCTGAAAATGAATAAAGTTTGTGCTGTTGAAGTTTTTTCAATCATTTAACAAATTTTTAATAAACTATGCAAAATTTGCTCTTTTTTTTTCCAGATTTTTAAACACTGGTGAACGAGACTACAGTCGTGATGGAACATTCTTACAAAGTTTAGGTAATAATTTGACTGAAACATAGCAATGTTAGATTTTTTATTCAAATCAACTCCTCTATAATCTCTGTTGTTCTATTTAGGTTTAAAAAATAACAAAATCAGTTCTGTTTTTTTCATCAATGTCGTAAGAGTTTTAATGAAAAAATGAAATGTGACAGTAACATAATGTTCTGAAAATAAATCTGTAATTTTTCTGAGATTATTTAATTTTTGGGTCTTATTTGAAATAAAGAAATAAATGTTTTATTGGTAACTTTTGACCAAACAATGACGAGATCCTTGAAATAAGATGAGGCTAAAAGTTCCTGAAATAGTTCCATTAACAAGAACAACAAGAACAACAAGAACAACAACAACAATAAAAGCGTTTTTCATTCTTTATCATCAGTTTGTTAAACTTATATATCGTTTTTGTTGTCTGTAGAAATACTGCTACCACTGAGACCAATTGCAATTATATCGAAAATTTTTTTCGATATTTTCAGGTACCTCAGCAGTGCCACAAAGTTCATCGCGAGAAACTAGCCATGTTTATTCAAACGGTAAAATTGAATCTTATGGTTATGACGTTCACGAGGTACATACTTCAGGTAAATCTTTATAATAACAGCTAATTGCTTTCAGAAAATCTACTGCTGACCTTAAAACAGCTGTGTCTTTAGTTAAACATTACAGAAGATTACTTCATTCATTAGCAACTAGCTGTAATTTAGCAGCAAAAATTTAACAATTAAAAAATATAAGACAAATTTTTTTTTTCATGTTTTATATATATTGGTTTAACATTTATCAAAATTGTTGTTGAGTTAAATTTTGCCTTAAAACTCAAATTATCCAAAATTTTTTAGCTTTAGTATGTAAATATCACTTTTTGTTTACCACTGGAAAAATTAGGTTTTATTCAGAAGGTGGTGCTCGAATAGTGCAGACTAGAGGAAGTGGTTTGATCAACAATGGTGAAGGACCAGCAATTGAACAACGTGATCGGTCGATCACCGAACAACATACTGCCGATGGTAGAAAAATTGAGCGGAATACGACCTTGATTGAAGAGCGAATTGTTGGAGAGCGTAGGCCCGGAATTACATCGGTACTGAAAAATGGAACCAAAGATGTAACTTTTGTAGACCCAATAAGGTAATGATCGTTTCAAATTGTTCAACCGAAACCATTTTATTAATTTAATTTTAAAGTACAAAAGTGCTTGTTTATTCAAGTTAAACTCAACAAATAGAAAAATAAAAAAGGAAAAAAAAAACACAGGTCTTTGTCCAGTCAACATCGGGCCTCTGATGATTACAGAGAAAATATCACGACCATGAAATCAGGCTCTACATTAATAGATGATACATACAGGACAGATCGACGAACTATTAATACGTACTTCTTGCCTATATTGCTTTAAAATTTTTCAGTTTTATAGAAACAAGCATTCGTAGTTTGAAAGTTAGAGCTGCAGACTACGTTATCCCATAATTCAAGTACCAGTGTAAAATGCTTCTGCAGCTCTCATATTCCTCAAAGAGCGTAATTGTATGACTTTAGTCAGCAACAGCTTCATCCTACATTTGAATTTTTTGCTCACCTTTTAAATGCTGCGCAAATTTACCATTCTTTTCTTCTCAGAACTTACGCATTAAAGTTAAAAAACGAGAAGAATAAACGAAAAAGTTTAAAAGATTGCAAACTGCTTGAATATTTGGTATATTTTTGATAGAAAGAAAAAACGACAAAATAGGTCAGCTGGTGCAAGATTGGAAGTTGTAGGAAAGGAAACGGAAGAATGGGTAAGACGATCACAAGCAATACACAATTCTGAGATGGAAATTAAACTTGTTTCTAGTTGTTTACTTAAGTAACAAACATCAAACAATCAGAATTTTTGTGTTTTCAAATCAGTCTGTAGTGTTGACAATGACGGAATGCCAACGATTAGCCGATGAGGAGTATTTTCACTGGTTACTATTTTCTGTTAATTCTTCTATTTTCAGTTAATCATTAAACTAATTTAAATTTTAAAAGTTCTTTTTAAGCTCCCTACCACGGAAGAATAGCTATAAACGTATGCAGCAGGGTCAGCTAGACGATTCAGTAGACGTTTACACGGTAAGTCAGGTTTGACACATTTTCACTTAGCCAGTGTTTAATTTTGAAAAAAATAGGTTAATCTTATATCAATATTATGTTGTCTTCACGGAAGCTTCAACCTATCTTACGGTTGATACAACAGCAGAATTCTTTTCAGCCACGCTCAAATGTCTCACTAATGCAAGGAACACGACTAGCGTCAAAATCGAGTGAAGACTATACGATTTCTCAACGAATCATCAGTTTCTTCCAAAAACTGTTTTCCAGAATACGGTGAGCCTTTGAACTGTTGAAAACGGACCAAATATTAGCAAAAAAAACTGACAAGTTTAATAGCTCCTTTGCATTTTGTTTAAAAGTTGTCCTGCACTCAGCTTTTTCGCCATATAAACAATTAGGATATGATTTCCTCTAATTTCGTGCTATGTTTGAGCATTAATATATCTTAATTCTGTAAGACAACTTGCAGGGAAACCGAATGGACACCGCGATTGATTGGCCTTGTAATTTTGTTACTGTTGTTGTTGATATTATTTTTTGTACTTTTGGGTATTATTATCAGTGCTGCACTAGGCGGATTTTCGGTATGAATATTTCTTCAGATCAGTAAATATCGTCTTTTGTCCTACTTTAAAAACAAAAGGAACAGCTGAAGCACAACAAGAAAGCTTATCCATTTCAGACAAAAAAACTAATCCTCTATCCTCCTATTTGTGAAGAATGCCGTCGACGGAGTCCACCAGATGCTTTTGATCAGAAACCTAGTACACTTTACATACATTATTATAACTCACGACAAACGCATTTAGAAATTAAAGGAAATCCTCCGCTTAAAAGTCATTCGTTTACTGCAATAGACTTCGAAACGGTAAAATAATAACAGTTGTCTACTTTTTGATATTAGAGTTAAAACTTAAGTTTTAAATGCCTAAGTACTTGCATAAATTTGGAAGTGAACAATCAAAATGTCTGCAATTCTTTTTCCCAATACTTATCATTTTTAGGGATATATAGCAATTGCTGATCATGCTCTAAAGGATACCACTGGGAAGCATTTTGTCTGTTTCGTAATGCCACTAGATCGAACGGCTTTACCAAACATGGATGCTCTCAAGGATGCTGTCGCCAGTTCAAATACCGAGGTTCTGAAGAAAGAATAACTTTGACACTTCCCTGTTGACTTATTTCCATTAAAAAACACTAAAAAAAGTTTTGTGTACAAAAATGTCACTTTTGCTTAAAGCAGTATGTTAACATTTATAAAAATATGCCTGAATAAATCATACCAAACAATTGGGTGGTATAGCAGGCAAAATTGTCAGTTTTTTGCAGACTTTAATCTAACAGTTTTAAAAATGCAGGTACAAACTGAATTTGGATGGCAGGAATATTGGCAGTTTCAACCTGAACAAATCGATACGATAACAGCAGAGAGAAAATTTTCAGAAAAAATTGAGCAGTGCATTGACGCTCGATGGTATATGCTGAAACAAACTGTGTATACACGAGGTAGGAAAGGATGGAATAAATTTCAGATCTATAATTATCAACAAATTTGTTGCATTTTATGGAGATATTACTATTCTCTACTTTTTTTTTTTTTTTAAGATGGAAAGTGCTCGGATTGTTATGATTTCTGTTTACCGGACTATAGCATACAGAGGCTGCAGAAATACAAAGACGATATGACATTAAATATCCGCAGGCTTGATTGTTTCCGATTATACGTGCCTGAATGGACAAAGTTCCAAATTCGAAGCGATAATCAAGGCGGGCATTGGCAGTATCCAAATTTGGAGAGTGGCGACAGAAATACTTTCGTAGGATGGAAATAGATGACTGAAAATGAAAATCCTTTCCAATTATCTACCACTCCTGTAATCTGCCATCATGTCGAGCAACTTACCCTTCCTTCTCTTCCCATCCATCCTTCTCCATCCCTTGGATTGCTATTAAAAAGAGTCAACGGCTAAAAATTCGCTTATCGGCTTTAGCAGTTCTTTCTCTAGGTTGAAAAAAACGAAGGTTATGTTGAATTTTGTGGCTTCCTTGTTTAGACGGTTGTTGCCAATCTACTTATAACGGCTAACAAATAGACACTAAAATGAAATGAAAAAGAAAAGCTTCACGTTTTCTCCATTTCTAGACTTACTGTGCGTAAAATACCTCATACAAAATCAGTCATTCCAGAATTATCTGACAAAAGAATCTAATGAATTAAAAGATTGGAAAAGTCGGTAATCTGAAACTAGTTATTTTGTTGTTATATAAACCTTAAACTGCCTTTTTAATTGTATTGCTAATTGTTGCTATGTACTTTAAGGATCTCTGACAATTTTTTGTTTATTTTTTCCTTTTTTGTTTTCCAAAAAATGTTTTTTATTGGCTCTGTATATATAACACGTTACCTATTTGAATAAACTGTTAATTCAAACTCTCTGGTCAATGCTTTAAGATAAACTTCTCAACTAGATTTCACGAGTACACTCTGCAATTACAATTCAGTACAAAAAAAATTAGCTCAGCTACAAAACCTGGCTAGAATACAAGTGATTTCCCAGCTAAGAATTATTTGAATTTCTGCAACTTCTACTTTCAAAACTGGAAGTTTCTTTTTTCTTTTGTTTTTTTACAACGGTAAATCTTTCATAAAATTATTTTATTCAAACTGGTGCTTTTTTTCGGTAGATAACTTGCAAATTTTATCTTTTAAAGAAATTTCAACTTCTATTTTTTAATAAAAAACTGTAGAATGCCCATATTGCTATAAAAATTAAAGACATAAACTTTTGTGTGGTTTCGTATGGATGTAAAATTACGCAGTTCTGTTAATGACCACCAAAGTTACAATAAATTTTTGGCATGCAGAAACCAGGGGAAATCTTTCCCCTTGGCGTAATACGACATCTACCTTTGCAAAAAGTTAACCCTTTAAATATTTATATAGTATGCAATGTTAAATATATTTTATATAATATTTGATATTAAATATATTTTGCCGTCATCAAACCGCCTGTCACTGTTGGCAAAGTTAGCCGACCTAGAGACGCCCCTTTTTAGAAGAAATTTTCACGCCATTTTATATTGTAGCAGACAAAAAATTATCAAGATTTTTGAAATGACCTCAACAAAATCCGTTCACCATTTCCAATTCACGTTCAACATCATTCATCAAGACAGCACTAATGTTCTGCCTATTTATTCAAAAACAAATACGGCAAAAAAAAGAATTAAACAACAAAAAAAGAAACTATTTGTAAGCGTTCAAAATCGCTCAACACTTTTTCATATTTGCTAAAAATTTTAGTCGTCTTCTCCGTACGCGCTTTATAAGTACAAATCCAGAATTGCTCAGAATGATGTATCTTGGTCTCCTGTTGATGATGATAAACTTAAGGTGGACTTCTCTAAAGCAAGACGAAAAGTGGAAATTAATTGTAAGTTATATATCACATAAATAGCAAGCGGCTTCTGAAAGCGAATAAAGCACTAAAGCATTACATGTGTACAACAGAAGACATCCAAACAGAAGATTTGCAATTTGTAATAACACCTAAAAGTTAACACATATTATGTAGAAGTTAAACCGCAAAGTAAAGAGGTGCGAACAAGAAACTGTTAGAGGATCTATTTCTAATGAGGTTTTGAAAAAGAACCTTGGCTGGGTGTCGCGCTCTTCCACTGCTCTTTCATTAATGAATCATCTTGTAAATATAACAGAGATGCCATTTTACTCAAAAACTAGAGAAAAATTTTCTCCATTAATTGGACTCTTTGTTGTCCCATTGCACCATTTTACACAATAAGTTAGGTGAGAAGCCTTACGAGAGAACATCAGAAACATACAGCAAGCACAATAAACGACTTTCTCAAGTCAGCTCATAAAACTGACGAAAAAGTGTTCTAAAAACTCCGCCACCTGTATTTTGCACTAACGCGTACCGAACATGGCTAATATCAAAAACAAACTGTGAAAGTAGAAGGTACTACGTGAAAAAGATAGGTTGTGGCGTACAGACTTGTATATATTTAGAAGAATTTGGCTGGCTTTTAGTAGTATCAACGAGTCTATCAATGACGGTAACTTGTTCAGTTAATATTTCCTACATTCACAATCCATTAACGCCGTTATTATGCCTTTTCAGCATTTACTCTCCTACAGGACGGAATTTGGATAACTGTATTTTATTGCTTGAAACTTCATAATTGATATAACTGGTGTGGTTCAGGTTCCAATGCGGCGCCAATGCGCTGCTTCTTCAGCACCTCTTTATCTCAAAAACTGAGTTTAAAATCAAGATGTCTAATAAAATCGACTTGTTATTGAGTCGGAATTCCAAAAACCCTCTCTAAGTTCAAGACTTTTCTTTTCGATATTCGGTAACTTTAAAACCTTTTGCAACATCAAAAAACTGGGAAATTTGCTTATCTGTAGAGTCGCTTAACAAATTTCGCAGTAAACTCAACTTTTTAGTGCAACTATTCTACTATTGTTCTAGAAGCCATCTGAAGAAGTCGCACCTTAACCAAAAAGACCTCTTTTTTTTTTCACTTGCTTTAAATTACTAATAGGTATATCTTGGAAAACTACTAAATGAATTTATACACCGAGTAAATTTTTTATTTGTCGAGAGAACTGTAATTAGTCTTTTTTTAGAGCCTAAAACTTAAGTGCCAGCTACTAAAAAAATTTCGGTGTTAGAGTAATGAAATAGGCAATCATTACCAAGATACTCTTTTTTTTACGTTTTTTTTTCTCTGCATTTTCTTTACACTCTTTCCAATACCGGCTTCAATATTCCAGCAACAATTCGCTTTGATAGATGTCCGCTTATTTTTAAAATGGAGGAAAATTTTGTAAAATTTCAATTCGTGCCCACATAAACTACCTATAATTTTTTTGACTTTTTCCGTTTCCCAGTTTAATACGCCTCTGTAATCTTAGCGTAAAGTGTTAACATCCGTCAACTATGGGACTTTCATTTTAACTTTTTTAGTGCATATGTGTTGTCCTATATTTTGTAGTAATTTTTTGGTTCCTCTGAAAAGTACCAAAACACTAAACTTATCTTCCGTCATCGCATAAATATTTTTTTTTTTTTTTGTTTTAGTTTTGCTCACAAAAGCACCTCTGAAGCGTTCACATAAGCTTTTTGAGCGGCAAAATCAACAACTTCTTTTGACTTAGTGCAACCAACAGTTATGATAGATATCAAGGAAGGCCGTGGGTAGTGTTGACTTGATACTGTAGCTTCGTTTGCTTAAATGCACTCTGCAAATATCTGAGCGTTACCGAATTAGTTAAAAAAGCTGAGATGAAAGCCGGAAAATAAATTCTAACTGAAACTGAGTCTAGAAACCTACACCCAAATAACCGCATCTTCATTACTCCATGTTGCCACCAACAGTAGTTTTACCAAACAGTAAATTTGAAGCTGAAGTCGCATTTTAAAAGTTGATTCTAAAAAAGTTGATAATTTAGGGTATCCAAAAGTTGACGAGATTAAGGTTGAGAACCGAACATAGAAAAAGTAAGAAGAAAAACATAGAAGAAAAACCCCCTATTCAAAGTTGGAAGTCAAAACAGTTTCGGTGTCGGAAGTGGTAAGGTGAACTGCAGCAAACATATGAAGTGAACATGTCTGTTGAATCCTTGAGAATGGAGAAATTAATCTAGGTAGCATAACAAAAATGTCTTCCTTGCACTAAACCACAATCAAAAAAATTCTGTTCGTACTACAGAACCTTGAGGACGGACTATAAGCAACTCCCGTAGCACGACAATTAACTATCCGTTTGTGATGGATGCATACAAAATGCCTGGATTCCAAGTATGGAATTTTGCCAAAATAACCATTTCAACTTGTCTTCTCTATGGCGCGATTTCCGCACTCTGATGATTAGCGGAAAGAACGACAGTCAGTTATGTTGCGTCGGGTTTGTGGCCTCAGACCACTCTTAGTATACTTGTGCCTGTGAAAAGCATGTGAAACGTGTATTTGAGTGACCATTTAATGTCCGTTTAAAGTGTCTTCACCGGTTATTTCCGACTTTACCGATCTTCGTATATCTCCTTACTAGCCAGCAACATGTCAAGAGATATAAGAAATTGTAAATTATTATTATCATTACTTTTTTTTTCAGCGACCTGATACTTTTTAACCTACAGTTGCTTCTCGATAGAAGAGGAGCAAATCTTTCTGACTTGTCAGCTGTTTTACCTGTTAATAGTTTTCACATTTCCCAGTCGTAGCGAGATATTCATTGTAGACAATCGTAAAGAAAGAACTTCAGCATCTGTTAGTCACTGCGTGCAGGTGTTGCCGGAGGACGCTTGGGCTCAAGATAGGCATAATACAAACTTCAAAAGGCCAAAATGGATGCAGTCGGATTCATCTGCTTCTCTGGTAACTATTTTTGCAACTTCAATAAGGTTGGGGTCAAAGTCGTACTTTTGGCGTTTACTTGCTCATAGCGTCTTTTTTCTTGACAGTAAAATCGTTAAATGGGGCGATAACGGTGGTTCTGGGCAAATTATTGTGATCTCTTGACTGCAATACTTTGAGACAGATGTTTAGTTCAGTGATCAGTTTTAGAACAGTGAGGCGTTTTTTCTGGTCAGATGCAGTGGTAACAGTGTAACAGCTTGTATCCAGCTTGATCCGGACCGTGTGAGTATTATCACGTTTGTTGTTATTAAATTTTTAGATGGATTGTTACTTTAGCTCATAATAACGTCTTCTCTGCTGTATCATTACGTTACCGATTTTTTCCTGTTAAAGGGTTGTCGGTTTGTTTTTGGAAAGTGCAGAAATATCTGTTTCAGTCTGCGACA